GAAGAGCCCACTGCTCCCCCCACCCCAAGAGCAGCATGCCACCAGAACAGGGACCGCCCCGCCCCCATGTACACCTATTCCCGAGTGTACAGCCACCCTGGCAAGGCCAACTGCAGCTGTGCTATGCCAGCCTGGTGGCCCAGCAGGGCTCACTGGGGGGTTCCTATGCCCTCCCCAAGGCCTGATTATCCTTCCTTTACGTTAAAAATATTTTTTGTTGTTTTTAGTATGCAAAAATTTCCACCATCTGCTGCTTCTTGGCAGGATGTTGGAAATATCTCCCTATTTCCCTAACTCTCACAGCTTCTGGAGGCTTTGGACTCCTCGGAACAGAGCAGCAAGGTCTCCAAAGCCCACAGCCTGCTGCCATCTTTGCTCTGGGCAGGTGGACGTGGGGTGGCCCAGGATGGGGAAGATGGTTTTCCCAACCTTTTAATCAGGGCAGGACATCAGCAACTTGTCCACTATTGGGCCGGCCTCACACTGGGTCTAAGACTTAGCTCCAGGGAGCTGCTGCGCAGTCTCTCAGTTTTTGCCAGGAATCTTGAAGAGGTACCTGGGGTCACTGGAGAGAGATGATGGCTGAGCAGAGCCTGGAGACAGATCCCTGTCCCCTGAGCTATCCCAGCTAGGTATCTCGACAGGATGGCAGCTGCCACATGTGTCCTGTGAGGCAACCAAGGGAGATTTTCCAAAAAGCGAGAGTTCCCCCTCACACCCCGCCCCACCTCATGTACCAAAACTCAAGAGTTTCCATGGTGACAGGCAAATTGCAGATCCATCCAAGACTGAGCTAGAGGGGAAAAAAATAATAAAACTGCCCATCCCCAGAGAAGCAGGCCTGGCTAGCTCTAAGCTGCCCTATCCACTGGTGAGGATGAGGGCCCAGCATGATGGGAAAATCTCCAGCAAGTGGACTGGGAAAGCAGGTGGCCGTGAAGGAACCAAAAGGGAGGCTCCCCTTCCTACCTTGTAGTGGAGCCATGTGAGTGTGGGCAAGGGTACCTCTTCTCCCACAGGCTCTCAGGGCAGGGCTTTCCAGGGTTTTCCTACCTCCTGTAGGAGCATGGGCAGAATACAAGCACGCACATGTACACACACCACCGACTATCCTAGATGTGGCCCTCAGACACTCCTAGAATGGTGTGGAAGATAGAAGGGCTGAGGCCAATGATGTCTGAGCCTGACAGCTTCATGTAGACCCAGAGGGAAAGCAGCATGGGTGCCCCGGTAGCAAATTACCCCAGGTTTAGGGCTTTCAGGGACAGGAGAAAGAAAAGGCTGCTTCCCTGACCACTGGAGAAGCTGTGGCTACGGGGGTGAAGTGCTTGTGGGGCCCGGGTAATGTGCAGCATCCTCCCCGTGTCTTTCCCCAGTGAGCGTAAGTGACCACCCACTGGCCAGCACTGCCGTCTTTTGTTTTGTGAGAGCAGATTGAAAATGGGATTTGAGTCTTGAGCACAAAGATATGATGATGGCTGTGGCCTCACTTAAAACCCTTAGGCATGGGGCTGGGAAGATGGCTCAGACAGCAAAGTGTTTGCTGCACAAGCCTGAGGGGCCGAGTTCTCCGGGCACCGTGTGAGAAGCTGACGCTGTGGAGCACACTTGCAAACCTGGCCCTGGGAAGGTGGAGACCGGCTGGGGCTTGCTGGCCCGGGAGTCTTGCTGAATTGATAAGCCGATGAGTCTCAAAAGAGATGAGAGATGAAGACACCCAATACCAACCACGTGCTTCTGTGTATGTGTGTGCATGCTTGATGTCCAAGCCTGGCCCAGCTTAAAACCCTGGGTGAGACCAGACAAAGGCCAGTGTGTCTGAAAGAAATGAGTAGTTGGTGGCTGGTCCCTGCTCTATGATCCCATTGTGAAATCAGTTGTCACCGGAGCCTGTTACCCCTTTTCCATGGCTCCCTTTGGCTTCTGCCACAGGGGGCAAAGAACAAGTCAGATGAGAGTAACTAGGGGAGCCTCCAGGATTTGTGCTGTTCCTGTGATTTCCTTTAACCCTTGTACAGCGCAGGCGCCCTCCCCAGTCAAGGACTGCGCTGCTTTGAAGAGACTCTAGCAGCTTGAGCCTGCTCCCCATCCCCCTCTTGAAGCACGTACACTAGATGACAGAGTGCAAAGGATGAGAGCATAACCAACTCCTGGGACAGCCAACCCCGCCGGCCCCGCCCTCGGCACTAAGCTGCATCTCAGAGCCGTGCGCCAAGCCTCGTCCCCAAATCAGCCAGAGGAGGATGGAATAGCCCAGGTCAGAAAGCACTGGCAGATTATGCGCGAATGTCTCTGCCAGAGAGATGGAGAGTCCAAGGTGGAGGTTGGTCGCCAACTCCTCACAGGGACTGTCCTACCCCCATTAGCATTAGCTAACTGCTGTCCTGTGTTCCTTTACTTCTCCAAAGTGGGGGGGGGGGGGCATGGGAAGGTACTTGCTCCAAGCAGCCCTACTTCCTCCCCACCAACTCCCACTTCCTGGGGACCCACGGGGTTAGTGTTTCGTCAGCCTGGCAATGAGTCAAAGCAACATAAGTGTTTGTAGAACTGATACCTGTGGGGTCCAGTCTCTGTGGATTGTGTTCAGTCTAGACCTGACAAGGAGCTAAAAAATGTCAGGTTCTTACCTACAGTTCTCATGAGCCAGGAAGGGCACGTGAACCCACCCCCATCCCTCTTTATCCCCTTCTTGGTTCTGTGTTATAGGGGACCAAATCAGAAGTCTTAGCAGTGGGCATTTGAGAGAGAGCGAGAGAGAAAAGGGTAGGGACTGAAGCAGGGGAAGAGAAGCCAGGGACAGTCACATTTCATGACTCAGTGACGGGACATCACACCAGCCTTCTCTTGGGGGCGGGAGGTGGACTCCCGGCCGTGCCGAGGGAGAACAACAGAAGCTTCCACCGGAGGAGACTGTCACAGTCATCCTCATGAGATGCAGGAAGGTCTTGGGTGAAGGAAGGAAGTACACTGAGGATGGTGAGGAGACAACTTCAGCATCTACCGAAGGGGCTGGCGAGGTAACTCAGTTGCTGGGTGCCTGCCTGACACACACCAAGACATGGGTATGGGCCCCAGTCGTAACGCTAGGCATGGTGCGGGCTGGAGAGATGGCTCATGTTAAGTGCTCTTGGTGGTCACAACCTCCTCTAACTCCAGCCTCGGGGAGATGCCAGCCTCTGACTTGCATTCACACGCATATACCTGCGCTAATGTGTGTGCTCGGTCATTCATACACACAGGCACACACCAAGAAATAAAAATAAATCTTCAAACAAAAATCTAGGCATGGTACATACTCAAATTCCCAGCGTGCAAGTGGAGGAGGCAGGTGAATCAAAAATTCAAAGCCATCCTTGGCCACATAGCAATTCAAGGCCATCCTGTCAAAAAAAAAAAAAAAAAAAAACAAAAATCCATTTTGGTGGTAAAACTGGCAGGACATGAAGACCAAAGCAAGGCCAGCACTGTGCGATTATCAGACCTTCATGAAGCACCTCCTGTGGCCGGTTGCTTGGCTTTGAGCCGCCAAGAGCCGAAACCTTTATAAGGGTGAGGTGTTCCACCAGCTTCAACTGTGGCTACCCATTTGTGTGACCTGAGTCCCTCAGCCGGAAGGCAGCATAACTGAGACACAAAGACATTTCGAAAGGTTCTGGATCTGGGTGGAAGGCCCACTTCCCCTCGTGTTTTCACAGTGACCTTCCCCTCATGGACCAGCCCTTCCTCTGGTGTGGCTCACTGCAATCTCAGGAGACTGAGCACAGCTCCAGAAAGAGTTCAGAGGCGCAGGGGGACCCTCATAGACATGGGGGGGGGCTCTGACCTCACCTCCTCACAGCTGCAGAGTTGGGAAGAGCCCAGTGAAGAGCTCAGCCCACCCCCTCCCTAACCCACACTCTGCACTTCAAAGGGAAGCACACAGGCTGAAGCTCTGACCCTGTGACCTGCCCCGGAGTCAGTCACCCATTACCTTTGATCCCACACCTACTTATCGTCTTTATCATCACTTAGTTACAGGCTGTGGAAATTAATGAAGAGAGTCAGAAAAGAGGCCAGAGCTGTTTCATTAAAACCAAGATATAAAAGTCTTGAAGAAGCAAGTTGCCTTTTTTTTTTTTTTTTTTTTTAAATCTATTGAATTAGGCGTGGGCAGGACAACTGCAAAAAGCAGAAGGAAGATATGGAAAAATCTAGGAAGATTCTGTTCTCAGCTCAGCTTGCCAGGGTCTGTAAGCTGCAGTGAGAAGAACTTGACCCAGAGTCACAGGCCATGTACAGATTGGGCCACACGGCCTGTTCTCAGAAACACGCCCCGCTCCAGAAGGTTGGCACGTGGATGTGCGTCCCTGCTCAAAATTAAAATAGAACGTCTGAAGGATGGATATATCCTGTATTATGACACCCACGGTTGATGAACGAGCCAAATACGGTGTTGAGTGCAGAACGGAGGGTGTTCGCCGAGCCCTCACTCCTCTCCTCGTGGTTCATGACACCCCACTGTGCCTGGCTGATGAGGACCCAGGCTGGCTCCCTGCTGGCTTCCTGATGAGAGCTAAGTGTTAGAACAGCCAGCCCTCCAGGGCTGGAGCCCATCTTCACCACCATGGCACATGCCCCAGTCTCCTGCCTTAGGCCTGTGGTTGCTGCCTGAGGGTCAGATGTGCTAAGTTTCTTTACGAAACCATGGCCTGGGTGTTCAGTGTGGCCAGGCGGAGGCCTCAGAGTCCCTGTGCCTACATCAAAGGTGGTCTTCTACTCCTACCAAACAAAAGGGATCCAGCCCACAGGGAGGCCATGATGCGTGAAGATGGCTGGCGGAGGGGTGAGCCTTCCCTGACAGTGGTGTGCGCGTGGGGTACATCCTCCTTAGCTGCTGGGAAGGAGCTCCTGCTCTCTCGAACACCATCATTATTCTAGGCCCCTTTGTGGTGGCAGGTGCCCTTGCCCACTCTGTCCAAGCAGTAGAAAATAATCATGACCTCTGTTCTTGTCTGTTCCAGTGGTTTCTAGTGACAGTGACTCGGATCTCAGCTCCTCCAGCCAGGAGGAGAAACCCATGCCCACTGGGGTCAAGGGCACAAAAGGTGACAAGCCTAGAGGGGACTCAGGTAAGTGTAGAGAGCCAGCAGTTTGTTTCCAGAGCCTGAGGTGCTGGGTGGCTTTTTTGTTTCTTTGGTGGCAGGTTCCCAACTGGTATCTGGAAAGTGTTCCTAGGAACCAAAGAGGCCAGGCTCATCTATATATAAGGGATGAGGAAGAAGGGCAAGACAGATGAGAGGTGGGGCTGGCGGGGCCGGCGGGGCCGGCGGGGCCAGCAGGGCTGTGCCCTCTGCACTCTTCCTAGGAAGCACCCTGGGCAGCATTGCTCATTGTGAACCACAAGGGGGTATGGTAGTTAAGTACAGCTCCCTGAACCACTGCCCTTCTGTCGTGCAACTGCAGTGGGGTCCCAGGCTGTGCCATTGCCTCCTGACTGGCACTGCCTTCTCTTTACCACAGACGAGGTGGCTCAGGCCATCTCCAAAGTCTCTTCTCATGTTGAGCCCGTTTTGTGCCTCCTGACACTTGGGTTACCTGGGCAATGAGGTAGGAGCAGAGAGGGGAATGAAAACAGAAGGCCTTTCATCTCTTGAAGCCCAAGAATGGCCTTCTGAAAAGAGCACTAGCCTCCTTCCTCTGTGTCCTTCTGGGCCAGATCTAGGACCTTCAAAGGAACCTTCGGGGAGGCTGATCTTAGAGCGTGAAGAGTGAGCCCTGTAACATCTGCCCCAGACTAGAATGAAACGCCTTAAGGAGCTGTCCCGGAGCTGAGGCCATGACCTCAGGCCCAAGCTGACGTGGCAGGGATCCTTGCTGGGAATGAAAGTCTGGGCAAAGCCAGAAGTGGCAAATGCCTAGCACACGCACGACCACCTCTCCATCCAGTGCCATGGCAGACATTACTAGTTGATTATGGTGCTCTTCCCCACAGAGCCCTGATGTGCCTTCAGAATCTTCCTTAATAGTTTCCCAAATGGTCAGTCTGGGAGATGAGGCAAGGAAACTAGTCCTGGACTTGGCACCAGCATCCCCAGAGGCCCCATTGGGAAAATGTACAAATTGCCTGCCAACCTTGGTCTCAGGACAGGCTTCCCCCTCCCCCCTACATGATGGCTCCCACCCCTTCCCTCCACGCCAACTCTCAGCTGTGAGCAGGACTTGGAAGAAATACCACAGGCGCCCTTGGCTGGGCAGGGCCATCTTGAATAAGGAGTAGGTTTACACGCATCTCATCTGTTCTTCCTGACAGCCCTTTGGAGGCCACAGCACATGTGTGAAGGGCTGGGATAACTTACAGGAGTCAGTTTTCTCCTTCGGCCATGTGGGTCTAGGGATCAAACCCCAGGTGTCAGGCCTGCAAGCAAGCACCTTTTATTTTTTTGTTTGTTTGTTTTTGTTTCTGTTTTTAATTCATGGAGCCATTTCTCCAGCCCCCTTACGCTTTCTCGGAAGCTACAGCGCATTGCCCTCTCTGTTTCCCATCTCCCTCAAGTCTCTCCATTCCAGTTTCATCACTCACACCCAAAACCACAAATACACACATGTATGATTTAAAAGTCTTTGCTAGTAAAGGTTGCTACCCCCTCCCTCCAGCTGCGTTACCAGACATAGACTTGCCTTTTCCCACCCCTCGCTCTGTGAAGGGGGGCAAACCTAGTCATTGCCAACTTTCATGTCAGTAACCTGTTACTTAGGGAAAGAGCCCTTTCTCTTGCTCTCGTGTGTCTTGTAGAGGTCTGGCTAGAACAGGCAGACATGTGGGTGAGGACCCCCGGGCATATTTACTACCCACAAGTCCAGATAAGGTCAGCCCGGCTCCTTGCTAGGCCGAGCTCAGTACATGTTCATTCCCGTCCATGCCTGGTGCCGTTGCAGGGGGCAGCATGGAGTCACCCCGGTTGGGGCCTGCCCGCCCACCCAGCCATCTTTCGGGCAGCCAGAGCAGCCTGGCCAGCGAGAGTGGGGCAGGTGCTGCAGACCCGCCGGGAGGCACCCCACCACGGCTTGAGCCCAGGGTACCCGGTGAGTACTGCTCCCAGCAGCATCTTCATGCCCACCTCCCTTCCCTAGTGGCTGGTGACATTTTAAATTCTTCATGTTTACTGAGCTCTGTGCTAGGCAGTGGGGGACAAAGGTCGGCCAGACCCGTCTCTGCCAGACATGACCAGAGGGACTCAGAATGGTACCACCTTCTGCTCCTGGGTCACTTGTCTGTCCTCTCTTGCTCCTAACAGCTGCAGGGAGTCCTCATTGGGCCCAGCCTGAGTGGGGTCTGTTTCATCCTCCAGAAATCTACTCCATGACTAAGCAAGCCAGTGCCAGTCTGAATCCTGGGAGGGAGATTTGAGGCTCTGTGGAGCACATCACTTCCAAGGTGGATTTCCGGGATCCTTGATGGACCAATGTAATAGATATAGAAAATGCTCACCCTGCCTTGTGCTCACTAGCTCAGCATGAGAGCATTATGGCACAGGGTGGGGGAGGAAGTTCTCATTCTCAAACCAGAGCAGATACAGTATCCTTCAAAGACCAGCCCCAGCTAGGCTCGGGAATCCTTTCTGGAAGCCCGCAGGCACATCTATGAGACAGCATCTGCTGTGCCCCTCAGTCTCCCTCAAGTAGCCTGTACACCCCAACCACCCCATTCCTTGTTCCATGGTTCCCCCCAAACCACAGGTCTCTGGGAAGGATACAGCAGTAGGCAGGTCTGGAGAGTGGACCCGCCTCTCTCTCTCCAGCCTCAGGATGAATTCTAGTCCCAGCACTGACACGCTCAGCCATGTGAGCTTGGGAACACAGCCAGACATAGGCCATGAGGCCTCTGCAGTCGGCCTCACTGAAGCATCCCTCACAGGGAGCCATCTGCCCTGCCCAGTGACCAGAGTGTAGGCAGGGAGTGTCTCCTCCTGGGTCCAAGGCACCCTGAGGTCACTGTGTTGAAGACAGCCTGCATTTGGACAGACAAACTGAAGGCCGGGGGACAGAGCAGAGGCTTGTGAGCACACGGCACAGTGGAACAGCACTGGCTGCTATCTGGGTATCCTCAGCCCCAGGCTAACCCTAGACCCTCCAGATGCTCAGGCAGCCAAGGGTGCAGTATCAACTCTCAGTCCATTTCATCCAAAAGCTGGACTGTCACTGGGAAGGAAACCACATCCACTCACTATTCTGTGGTCTTTTTCTCTTATTTCCAAAGGCAAAAGACATACACGCACAACTTCCCGCTACTGACGTGGCTGGCTGGCATCCCTAGGCTGAGGCAGATTCTCCAGAAGAAGATTAAGAGCAAAGATGGACAGGGTGCCAGGCTCCTCTCTGAAGGTTCTTGAGGCCTCAAAAGCACCCTACTGGCCTTGACCAACTCAACAAACCAGTATTTGGGGACCAAGTATGCTTGCCCCCACCCAGTAGTGCCTTGCTTCCCCTGGGCAGAAAGTCTCCTATCTGCCACTTCACTCAGCACCCCCCTTTATTTATTGCCCCCCACCCGTCCCATTTATTCCCATGTTTTGATTTGCTTGGGTCTTGGGCTGGGCTGGAAGGGCCTTCCTGTATGCACTGAAGTTTTGGTGGGGCCACACGGGGCTTTCTTTGTACCAATGCTGAGAACTCTAGCCCTGAGTATGACCCTGAAGAGCTGAACACCTCCTAGCTTGAGCCTGGAGCACCCACGCCTTTCCCCTCCTTCACTGATGGAGGCCTAAGCATCGCCCTGTCTACCCCAGGCTAGCCCGGGGGCTGGGTTCAACCAGCCCTGATGATTCCCTGAAGCCCCTGTTGTTCTACAGCTTTTTGCTCCACCCAGGCTCCCAGCTCCCCTAAGACATTTAAAACACTTTTCACTCTTCAGTGGAAAACAAGGCTCCCATCCTCCCTCATGCTCACTGGCCCAGCCTGGGAGCTTCGAATTCTCAAACCAGAGAAGGCATGAAAAATACTCAAAATACAGATGCTTTGGGAAACCCTCTCCCTGGGTGAGGTGCTGTGGGTCCATGTCCTTCCTCCCTCTTAGTCTAGTTCATCCTCCCCCACCACCCTCCCTTCATCCGTGGAGGGCTTTCTCCCCAAGGCCGTTATTAGCCTTTGCCATTGCTGCTGGCAGAGGACAAACTCACCATTTCCCTGTGATATGTAATACTTCAGCATTAAAATAATAAACGTGAAAACGTTCACGGAGCCACTCTTGATCCAAAGACCACAACCGCCGCATCCAACTCGTGTTAGGATAGCAGTGGATGGATTAAAACAAGCAGTGCCGATTCACTGAAACCCTTCTACAGTCTGGGCCCTAGATCAGTGTCTCAGTGCTGCGCCTAACACTAACGCAAGCCCATTTATGCAAAAACTAATCAAAGTGGGCTCAACGGGGCTGTACAGAACTGTTTCCTAAAGAGACATTGACTCTGGCCACATGACTCATGGCCTGGGAACATGCATCATTTCTCTGTCCCACTCGACACAGAATTTAAAAAGTGGATTAGCAGGGCACGGTGGTGCATACCATCTCTGGTGAACTGAAGATGGATGCTGGCATCAGGGAACCCCCAGATAACAGCTCTATACTCACTTCCACAGTCCGTGAACCCCATCCTTGTACACAGAGCAGCCAGCCAGCCTTTGCCCACACCGTAGGAACAGGGGAAGGCACCCAGAGCCTAGCTGAACACCTCAGAGCGTCCAGCTCAGGGGAGGAGGAACTTAGATCCTCTGAAGACACTAGAAACAACAAAATGCGGGTTCTAGGACCCAGAGGCAGGACACTACTTCAGTACTAGCCCTAGTGCTGCCAAAAATGAAAAATTAATGCCAATTCTACCTTTTAGAAAAGATGTTAATTTTCTTCTAAATTAAAAAATAATAGCACGGGGCTGGGAAGAGGATTTGCTCAGTGTTCCAGAAGCATGGGAACCCCAGTTTGATCCCCAGAACCTGTGTGGCATAGCCAGGCATGATGGCATGCCTGCCTTTGTAAACCCAGTGCAGGGGAGGCAGAGGCAGGCAGAGCCCTAGGGCTTGCTAGCACCTGCCAACCTAGCCTGCTTATCAAATTCCAAGCCAGATAAGAGACCCTGTCTCAAAAAGGAATGAAAGAAGAGAAGGAGATACCCTCCCAGGAAGCAAAACACAGAAAAACAGTACAAGAGTGCAGGGGCTGGAGCCCAGCTAGCTGGCGGGAGCCTCAGTCTGCCCCCAGCTCTGCGTCAACCTGGGCACGATGGTGCACACCTATAATTCCACCACTCAGGAAGCAGAGGCAAGAGGAAACAGTCAAGCCCATCCTTAGCTACATGGTGAGACCAGCCTGGACTACATGAGACTTTTTCTCACAGGGGTGCACAGTAGGGATAAAACGGACTAACAGAAATCTCCAGCAATGTAGAACTTCCAAACCAAAAACAGGGAGGAGCGTGGGCATTGGAGCTGGAGGGCCAGCTCAGCGGTTCGGAGCATTTGCAGCTTAAACAAGACCCGAGGACCCAAGTTTGGTTCCCAGCACCCTTGTCCAGCAGCTCCATGGGATCCAATGCCCTCTTCTGGCCTCTGTGAACCCCCTCATGTAACGTGGCATGCACACATAAATAAAAATAAATTAGAAAAAGGAAAATCGCACAGGAGAAAGTGATGAGAGGGGGTGTGAGCAGTCCCTAATCAGGCGCAGGGTTAGGGGAATGGGGCAGGGAGCCTTGGCCGCCGCTGCCCAGCACGTGACTGCAGAAGAGTCCACACACAGTTCAGTAGGCTAGAAGCAGTGTTTTCATCACTGGGAAATGGTGACGGGGCTGAAGAGATGGCTCAGCACCCTCTTGCTCTTCCAGAAAACCTGGTGCCATTCCCAGTACCCATGTCGGAGGGTTCACAACTGTTTGTAACTCCAGCTCCAGGGGATCCAACTCGACAGCACCTGCATTCGAGCATGCGCGCACACACACACACACACACACACACAAACTCCCCCACCTCAAGAAAAATAAGGGCTGGAGAGATGGCTCAGCCAGTTAAGAGCACTTGCTGAAGACTTGGGCTCAATCCCTAGCATCCACATGGTGACTCTGTTACTTTACATCTTTATCATCTGATTCTCGAGTTCCTCTCCTGACTTCTGTGTACTGTGTACTGTGTACACTTTGTGTACCTGGGGCACAGGCATACAGGCAAAACACCCGTATGTCTAAAAACATTACTCTCCAGACAAGGCCTCACTATGTAGCCCTGGCTGTCCTGGAACTCTCTCATTGTAGACCAGGCTGGCCTCAAACTCACAGAGATTCTCCTGCCTGAGCCTCCCCAGTACTGGGATTAAAGGTGCATGCCACCATATCCAGTCTAAAAAAAAAATTAAAGAAAAATGGATAAAGGGTAAAAGGCAGACATATTAAATCTAGTTTAAACATTGCATGGTATAAACCAGTGTTGAAATATCACGGTATGCCACAAATACATACAATTCTCGTGTTTTCATGTATCTGTTATAAAAAAATAAATTTTAAAACTCAAATGGGAAGCTGAGGCTTTAGCTTAGCGATAGAGCACCTGCTTACCATGCATGGTGCCCCGGCTTTCAGCCTCAGCACTGTACAATTACCTGATTCATTGATGTAATCATCATTTCTCTTACTGCTCTGACCAAAAGACCAACAGACGCTAACTTCTGGGGGCAAAGATGGTTTCCAGGGGTTTCAGTCCATGACAGCAGGAAGGCATGCCAGCAGCCTGGAAGCAGGGACCCAGCTGTAAAACTCAGGGACATGGACAGACACATGCTGCATGCACACACAGAAGGTAGAAGGAGCAGAAAAGGGGAGAGATGAGGGAAAATAATGGAGAGTATTATCAAAGTAACCCTGCGCATATAGGAAACTATGAAAGGATAACTTTAAAATGTAAAGCCTTGTGAATGCTGAGAGGAAGTGGTTTCTGGTCTCTACATACCCAGCCTGATGTCTCCCAGGTGTGGAGGGGAAGGTGTTTTCAGGCATGAGTGTTCTCAAGTGTTTTCACCTCTCATGCACTCTTCACCACTACAGGATGCTTTCCAACCGGACCAGAAAAGAAAACCAGAAAAGAGCATACAGAGGATGCGGGGAGAGGCAGGGAATCCCTGGAGGACACAGGAGAGAGGCAAGACACAGGGGGCACAGGACAGGGGACACAGGAGCGAGGCAGGGAATCCCCAGGTAATTGTGGAGTCATGCAATTCTACTGGATTGGAACATGAGGACAGAGAAGGGCAGGAATAAAAAGAGTATGCAAGTGGGGGGGGGGGGTTGTATGCTAAAGTATGACATACATACATACATAAGCTGGAAAACCAAAAATTAAAACTAGTAGACACAAAGACGAAGATACAAGGGAGCTAAAGTCCCCAAGGTCGCCCTGAGAGGACTTGGGATGGACAGGGGTGGCCGTCTGTTCGCCAAGCATCAGAGGACACCGGAAGCACTGGAGTCGCCATTATGCCGAGTGATATGGGAGGATGTATGCTGTGGTGTATGATGGGATGGTGCCTACGCCATAGCACACCTGTGGGGGTCAGAGGACACTGCACCTGCATGGCCAGGCTCACCCACTACGCCATCTTGCTAACCCCTGGAGTCTTTCGGCGGAAATCATTCACACAGAACACCTAATAAGCCCAGGGAGGGTGGCTGGCAGCAGAGAGAGCTCTCCATCCATAGCAGGGCTGAGGGGCTGAGGGGCTGAGGGGCTGAGGGGCTGAGGAGCTGCCACACAGAGAGAACCAGGCACCAGCTGCACTGCAGCCTCCTCGGTGGACCTCCTAGACTTAGGACTGCTCAGCGATGGTGCAGAAGCTGCCCGCATTCAGAGAGACCGTCATGCTAATTCTGCCAGTCTCACAAAGACAGACGCCCTTACCCCATAAAAACATGCGTAATACCAGGAAAAGCTGATCGTCTAAGGCAGTGGTTCTGGGTCGCAACCCTTTTGGAGGGCGGGGGTTGCCTACAACCATCTGCATGGCGGATCTTTACACTATGACTCATAACAGCAGCGCCACTGGAGGAGTTAAGAAGTAGGGACAGAAATGATTTTATGGTTGGAGGTCACCACAGCAGGGGCTGTGTTAAAGGGTCCCAGCGTTAGGAAGGTCGAGAGCTGCTGCTCTAAGGGAACAGAAGAGACCAGTGGGAAAGGAGGAAGGAAGGGGTAGATATGTTCAGCATACAGCATGCATGTGTGGGCCAAGGGGGCTAACAGCCAGCATGGTGGGGCAAGAGGACCCAAGTTCAATTTCTAGCACCTACGTCAGGAAGCTTGCAACTGCCTACAACTCCACCTCCAGGAGGGCCTGACTGCCTCCAGCACTGGATTCACATGCTGCAAATTAAAACTAAAACAACATGTACAGCCAGGCACAGCGGCACACAACTGGAATCCCAGCACTCAGGAGACAGAGGCAGGCTGTCTGCCTCTGTGAGTTCAAGGCCAGCCTGGTCTACAAAGCCAGTCCAGGACAGCCAGGCTACACAGAAAACCCCTGTCTCCAAAACAAAAAAAGAATATCATCTACTTGTAGCAACATTTTTAGAAAAATATTTTAAAGCACTCCATCTTCAGCTGAAACACAGGAGGGGGCTGTTTTCATTGATTTTTACACGCATGAGTGTCCGGCCGCACATGTATCTGTGCCCCGCATGCATGAAGTACCTATGGCTGCTAGAAGGCGACATCAGGTCTCCTGGGACCGGAAGCTGTGAGTCACACTAGACTCAAGCCCAGGTCCTCAAAAGCTTTGAGGGTGCGGCTGCTGCTGTTGCTCTTTGTTTTGTTTTAGTTTTCCACACTAGTTAACTCCACATGGTCCGATTCCCCTGTAATGATGGTGGCAGCAGTAAGCGGCAGCAGCTGGCCATGAGGGGACACCCAGGCCCACGGCCTGTCCTGTAGCAAGTTGTGTTCAGAAGGATGGGTGGGCCACACACACTTCCCCTTAGGAGACGTTCAGCTTAGGGCAGGCTTGTCGGAACAGAACCGTCCTAGACCTGGGAGCCCCTGCGTCTACTCCCCAGCCTGTAGGTGGCTGTCCCCCACGCCCACCCTAAGCTACAGGGCCCTTTCCCATGCCTCTAAGGAGGAAAGCCCTATCCAGCCTAGCACACACACCCCACCAGACCCCAGGCCCACCTCCCCAGAGCCCCCCCGACCCCTGCAG